GTGTGTGTGTGTGTGTGTGTGTGTGTGTGTGTGTGTGTGACAGTGTGTCGGGTTACGGAATGGTTCTCTTCATGCATGCAAGAAGTTTGTGAAGATTTGCGTTAAAAAAACTGGTTATTGAGTGAATATAGTAATTCTTGTGGAATTTTTTATTTTTATTTCCCCCCCCTACGGGAGCGATTTTACTTTGTTAATTATAGTGATTACATGAATGTAAGTTGTAAACGGCCAAGCTGGCAACCTGTGTGTTGATTGTGAAGAGAAGAAAAAGAAGAAGAAAAAAAAACTCAAGAAGAAGAAGAAGAATAAAAAAACTCAAGAAGAAGAAGAAAAGCAAAAGCTCGTCAGGATTGCTTCGGGAATAATCGCAGGTAATGAAAATTCATCGGCTTGGTGGACGTCGTCGACCTGCCTATCACTCTTCCCCTTCTTTTTCTTTTGCCATTCTTCTCTTGTGTAGCTGGCTCTTTCTTTCGCTGTGAAAAAGAAAGAAGCAAAACTCTCGGTTTTCTCCTTATTTTTCTTTTGCCACTCTTCTCTTGTGTAGCTGTCTCTTTCTTTCGCTGTGAAAAGAAAGAAGCAAAACTCTCGGTTTTGTCATTTCGCTCAGCAATACGCCTTTGCTATGCTTTGGGTTCTGGGCCCTTGAATGGTCCCTTCGTTTCTTTTTTCCCAAGTAAAAAAAAAAAAAAAAAACAGAAACTACGCGGGAGTCACAAAAATGATTTGTAATTGCACTATGGGCCAAGATACTGTTTCGAATTGCAGTTCGGACAATGTATACAACCCAGCTTTCTGGCCAGGACCGGAGGGAGAGGAGCGGGTGTGTAGGGGGGTTTAATCACCTCCACAGGAAAGCTGCACCCTTGGCGGCCCTGGGTAATCTTTTTTTCTATGGTAATATTAGACGACAGCGTCTTCAAAATACAGAGGGCATTCTCACCGTGCCAAGGTCTTTTCTTAATTTATTTATTTATGTATTTTCTACTTCTTTTTAATAAATAAATAAGGCTAATTCTTTGAAGCCCAACCAATTCAATTCCCTGTCAAATTTGGCCTTTTTTTTTATTGTCATTATAATAGTATTACAGGGAACCGCGTAGCAGCCACGTCCGTGCTCAAGCCTCCAACGAGGGGGATCATGCGGGAGCTGCACCGACCAGCAGGTGCGATACCTGCTACGTTTTATGCCCTTTGGAAAATGAGTTGAAAAAAGAAAAAGAAAAAGAAAAAATCCGTTGGAACTGGGACGATGGAGAGAAGCTTGGCACGACTCAACAATGACGCGTACAAAACAAACTAAAAAAAAAAGGAAAAGGATTTTTCATTCAAAAAAAAAAAAAAAAAAAACGATGGTTACCAGAGTGGCCCGGGACCACTTGCCCGGCCGGGCCAAAAAGAAGAAGAAAAAATATATATACATTATTTTATTTATTTTATTTTGTATTTTAAATTTGGTAAAGAATTTCGATGTGACCCTGAGGCAAACGTTGTTGAGTTTGTTTTCCTGCATAACGTAGGTTTTTTTTCCGGATTTTTTTTAATTTTCGTTGTCGTTTTTAATTTTTTTGCTGGTCCTTGCACGGCCGAGCCGGGTAGCCTAAAAAACAACAGGGGAAAAAAAGTAAAAAGAGAGAGAGAAAAAAAGAAGGGAAAAGTAAGGAAAAAAAAGAGAGAAAAACGAGAAAAGAAAAAAGAGAAAAAAAAGGAAAGGAAATGAAAGGGAAGAACTCTTCTTGTCTATTCTGGACTAGTAGTAGTCTCGAGTTTTCTTTTTAATCCACCTTGGCGTTTCTGTTTTTTATTTTATAGTCGTTTTCATTAACTCTTGCATATAGAGTATGATAGAGTGATGTTCTATTTGAAAAGAGAAGTGATGTTTTGGTCTTTACTCGAATGTATAGAAATTGAACAAGATAAAGATGTGAACTTTCCCCCTTTTTTTGTTCTTTTTTTTGGAGAAAAAGATCAATCTTTATTAATAATATCAAAACTGGGCAGCGGCCCCGGCGTCCCTTACAAAAGTCGCCTCAGCTCTGAGCTGACCAAGGCTCTTTGGGCGGGCGAAGCTCATGCTACGAGTCTAGGACTGTTTCAAGGGCACAAATCCTCCTCATCTTCTCTGGTGGCCACTAGATTTACAATTTCTTCTAGCATTACTAGTGCTATCCTTTCTTTTTTTTTTTTTTTTTTTT